TGCGTAATATTACATAAGTATACATCTAATTAACAGATAAGCTTATGCGCACACTGTATATAAAGCTACTAAAGAAGATGCGCTAGAGCTTTCTACTAAATATAATACTCTAGGTTATACAACCTTTATATAAAGCTGCTAAATTAGGACTGTATTAGTTTAAGACATACTATAACTACTATAAAAAAAAGCTACACATGCACATCTTTTTATATAACCCTTACCTCTTAATTACTAATAAAGGAGAGCACACTTTTAGTATTACTAGCCTGTAAACAGATAACACTTTAAGTATTATAATAAAGAATTTTACATAAAGAGAAGAAAAAAAACTATAGAAGGTAAAGTTCTACATAAAAAGTAAAACTATTCTAGTAGAGAAGCAGCCTATTAAGTTTAATAGTAGAAAGATTAAGCTTACGCACAATATAGTAGTTCTTACTTAGAAGAGATAAGTAAGCTACCTTTATATAATTAACCTAAAGAATAAAAATGCTGCATAATAATATATTAAGTAATGTGTAAAAAAGGCATACATTGCATTTATGTTTTAACTAAAGGTAGTATTTAACTTGTCTATTGCTGTATAAACTACAGACCTTTTATATAATAATATTAACACACTTAACACATAAATCTAATAGTAGATAGATAACAGTAAGCGCAGTCTTACCTTTCTACTATTATAGCTTAATTATGCAAAGCTGTTTATCTTTATAAATAAATTATTTACTAATAATAAAAACCTTAGCTTATAGCTAAAATTCTTAATTATATTAAGTAATAAAGACTATATAGAGTAAAGCAACTACTTTAAAATACTAGGCAATATTATACACTAGAATTCTACTAAGTGTAAAAAAGTAACTAGAAGTGTCTTTACTAGCAAACTATATAAAATAGTTAAAAGGTTTAATAATGTAATTACACTTAGTATAACTTTATAGCAAATTATATAAATGCTTAAACTGCTACTAATTTTAGTAGTAATCTACATAAATTTAAGGTTTCTGTATAATTACCTTGTTAAGCTAGGCACTACTAGTAAAAAGTAACTTATAATTAACATTATATTACTCTATAAATTATATAAGAAGAGAGAAATTACTAAAATAAAGTAAATTAATAGTAAAAATAACTTAGTAAATGCATGTATAAAGAAAACACTAAACTAGGCTTTTTAATTATTAGTTCTAACTAACTGCCTCTCTATCTAGATAGAAGCATCTGTGGACTAGCTAGATCCTGTGCGTAAAGATGCTCTAGACTAACTAGACTAAAAACGCCTTTATATAAAGCCTATTTTTTTTATTTTTTTTATTATACGCACTTATTTTTTTTATTACAAGATTAGAAAAGAAGGATATGTAAAAAAGATAGTCTATTTATCTAGTATATAGAAGAAGAAAAAGCTACCACCCCTTACATATAGTAGTTATAATGCAGACTACAGCTCTGCTATACGCATAAAGCGCAGGCATTAGCCTAGAAGTTAGCTAACACATAACACTTAATAAAAAGAGAGGCACTAGTAGTGCTGCTATAATAATAAGTATATAAAGTTGCTAGAACTTAACTATAACTTTAAACTAAAACTACACAGAAGTACCTCTTATAACACACAACTTTTACTGCCTACAGCTGCAGATTAGTGCTAGTAGGTAAAACAATGTTAATATTATAAAATAGTAAAGCTGCTATATGCTGCTTCTTAGCCTATCTATAATTAGCATTTTATATAAAAAGAAAGCAGAAGAGCTAAAAGATTTATATATTTATGCTAAGACACTAAATAAACTACTAATTAGTAGTAAAACTAGTTAAAAAGGTAACGCAAATGCGCCCTAGGCTGCTAGACTGCACAAGGACGTTAAAGACGCCCGCACTAACAGCGCTAGAGGTAGAGGAGGAAGGCTAGAGAGACATCTCTCTCTCTCTCTCTCTTAGTGTGTGTGCAGGCGGGAGTATCTGTTACTGTCAGCACTGTACAAAAAGAGAAAAGAGCTAGGGAATAGTACAGTAGGGCTTAGAAAGTAAAGGATAAAAAAAAGAAAGTAAAGAAAAAGAAAAGACCTTATTATATACACCTCCCTACACACCTGCTTATGCAAAGATCCTACACTATTCTAGTATAAAACCCTACATAAAATAGTTTATA